GATGGAATTTTGTGCACATGTGCAGAGAAAAAGCCAAAGAGGAAGTTGCCTTATCTTGTTTTCTCTTTTGACATTTACTATTCCAATGTAAACATTTAATCTCATTTCCTAGTTGATCACAATGTAATTATCAACATCCATCTCATAGCTTGTGTAAATATTTCTGTACAGTACATTGGTTTTTATACAGAAGGAAACAAGCAACCCTTTTGGTTGTAGTTGTACCTTCTAGTAAGCTACTTTAGAGGTAAAGGCTGCATCAGATTCATGTTCCTTGCCACCATCTCATTTGGCCTAGAGGCTACCGTTTCTAATTTATTTGAAAACTGTTTTACAACAACAAGATTACTATTATTCTGGCTTGCTGAAGGTGGCAAATTCAATTCAACTTGCTTTGAGACCTTATTTTGTATTTTGTATTCAATTCAATTGATTAGTGATTTTATATTTGTTTATTTTGGTTGGTATTTGTAGTTTTGTATTATATGTTATTGTTTGTTTATGTGTTATTTGTTTATTTTGGTTCCTATTTGTTTATATTTTAAATTGAATTAAATTTAGAGTATTTGATTTAGGGGGTATAAATGTAAAAAATTAAAACTACAGGAATTTTGGCGGTGTAACTGTTATGGGTGAAAATAAAAACTAAAATCTGGAGAGAGAAAAAATGGGTCCACCCATACCCGTATAGGGTAGAGCACGGGTCTAATATTTTGGACCTGTACTTGTTTAACCCGGCCTATACCTGGCCCACCCACCCATTTTGTCAAGTCTAGATGGAAGATACATATTTGTTGTTTTAAAATCTTTTAGATATTAATTTATCGTTTCGATAAATCTTGGGTATGTATAAATCGTTCTCTCCTAAAAAAGAATTCGGGTCAAAATTGACAATCTTAAAATAACTATAACGACAAAACAGATAATAAATTATAGTTTCCTCCAAAACTTATGAATTTTTCCTTCAATATTTAAAACAAAGATCATCATTCTCCAACGCGGTAAGGAATAATTTAATTTGGGTTCATTAAAAGAAGAGACGTGTTTGATGTTACTGAGGTTCGCTTTACGTGGATTATGAATAGTTAAAAGATAAATTGCTCTCTTTCGTGGAAGATGAATGCAAGTAGAAAAACACTAGAATATTAGTGTAGCTATCCATCAGCATAACGTATGAAAAAACTTTGGAAATATGATGCGAATCACATCCCTTTACTCCTTTGGATTCTGATGAATTCCCTCGAGATTCGCGTAGTGCTATGTTAATTACTTAACTGTGTGCAGATTATCTAGTTAAATAAAAAATACAATAAATGCAAAAACATTTCCTGGAAATGTCACAGAAAGAACGGAATTCAAACTCCAATTTACAAAAAAATTTATAAATTAGCTTCAAATTGCCCTCCATTTAGGGGTGGGCGTGGGCGGGGCCAAGGATGCCATTCCCCGGGCCCATCCCCGACTTCTAGGAGATTCCTCGAGCCCAGTCCATCCCTAGACTCGGGGATGAAAGGGATCCCGAGTCCAGCCTGTGGGGATGAGTTGACCCCCCGATCCCACCCTAGCCCGCCCTAACCCGGTCAATGAGGTCTTTGCGGGGTCAACAGGATCAAGCATTTTTTATTTTTTTACATTTTCATTCATAAAACTATCAAATAACCCTTTTATTTTGTCAAAAATTAGGAAAATTATAAAAGATAACAAAGTAGTTGTAGTTTTATTGAATCTGAAAGTTTTTTTCATTTTATTTTTTGCCAAATTTATAAAAAAGAAAATCTTTTAAATTTGTTTCTACATAATCATTTTTGGAAGAATTGTTTGTTTTTACCATTGGGAATATTGTTCATTTAATTTCTTTTTCTTTATTTTTTCCTCTTACTTAACATGGTTCTTCAAGATTTCCCATAAGGTATCATTAATTTCCATGATTATCATCTTTAATCGGTTTTCATGAGTAATAATAATTAACATTCTCAAGAATGTTAAATTCAAATCAATTAGTCTAATGCCAAAATAATTATCTCCACATTAATCAAATATTAAAAATAATCAATTACTCAAATCATTTAAAGATAAATGTTTTTTTTTTTCTGGCCTGTTTGTCAAAGTACCTTTTCAAATATACTAAACAATTAAATAATTTAATGCACTAGAAGATGATTCCAGCTTTTTATTCACACAAATATTTGATGGAAATAGAAAAGTAATAATTTTGTCCTTAAAGTTTGACCCAAGTAACATTTGTGTCCAGTAACGTTATTGAAACTGTTAGACAAAAGTACCCTTACACCTTGGGGATAAAATTGTATTTTCATCCTTGGAAGATGAGTAAACTAAGCTTAAGACTAACTTTCTCTTTATGTAATTACATCTTTGTCTTTTTCTCTTGAGAAGTGATTGATTGTATTTTTCATTTTCTCTATAACTCTAACCCATCCCAAATCTATATGTCTATATAAAGCTAAGCCACCCCCTCGGTTGATTGACATTTAGCACTCATTTTGTGAATGTAGAATTGTTCCATCTTGTCACACGTTGGATTTATAGTTGCCATGTGATTAAATTTTATTGGTGATTGATCGACACGTAAGATCATTTTTGTAGCTAAACTTCTTTCGAGGAATGGGCCAAATTGGGTCATTTCTTAAGAACAATAACTAAGAAACTTGATACTACCACTTGGATTTGTAACCTACACGTTGATGCTCACGACTTTGATAACCAAACCAGTGATTTGGATGAGATCTCTCGAAAAATATTTAGTGCCCATTTTGGACAACTCTCCATCATTTTTCTTTGGCTGAGTAGCATTTATTTCCATGGTGCTTGTTTTTCCAATTATGAAGTCTGGCTAAGCAATCCTACTCACATTGGACCTAGTGCCCAAGTGGTTTGGCCAATAGTGGATCAAGAAATATTGAACGGTGATGTGGGTGGGGGTTTCCGAGGAATACAAATAACCTTTGGCTTTTTTCAGATTTGGCGAGCATCTGGAATAACTAGTGAATTACAATTCTATTATACCGCAATCGGCGCATTGATCTGTGCAGCCTTAATGATTTTTGCTTGTTGGTTCCATTATCACAAAGTTGCTCCAAGACTAGCTTGGTTTCAAGATGTAGAATCCATGTTGAATCACCATTTAGCAGGGCTACTAGGGCTTGGGTCCCTTTATTGGGCGGGCATCAAGTTCATGTATCTTTGCCGATTAATCCATTTCTAAATGCTGGAGTAGGTCCTAAAGAGATCCCACTTCCTCATGAATTTACCTTGAATTGAGATTTTTTGGCTCAACTTTATCCCAGTTTTGTCGAAGAAGCAACCCCATTTTTTACCTTGAATGGTCAAAATATGTGAAATTTCTTACTTTTCGTGGAGGATTAGATCCAGTAACTGGAGGTCTATGACTGACCAATACTGTACACTATTATTTAGCTATTGCAATTCTTTTCCTCATAGCGGTCACATGTATAGTACTAACTGGGGCATTGGTTATGGTCTAAAAGATATTTTAGAGAACTACCTAACATCTAAACACCTCCTCTCCTTCTCAACCCCCAAACCAGATCATCACCACGTTCACTGCTGATAACTGAAAACTTCACCCACTTCAACTCCTCCATCTTTTACCAAGGACATTTTTGATACCTTATAATTGATTTCTCTTAAATGTGAGTTTCTTTGAATATTTTTAGAGTTAATTAAATTTATAAAATAATAATATTTCTATAAATTATTATTTTCTTGTAGTAAGATAATAAATTCATCATAAATAGATATTTGCTTTTTACTTATACAAAGAGTGATAAATAGATTGTTATTTTCTTGGAGTGTTCAAAAGCAACACAACATTCTTACAAGGGTGAGTTTAGTTGAGGGAATATTGTATTATTGAAAATGTTGTATTAATAGAAATAAGATTACCTTGAAGATTACTGGAAATGTTTAAGAAAATGTGTTTGGCTAGGTTAAAATAAATTAGTGGGAATGTTATATTGATATATGTAGTTAGGAGGAATAAATTGGTGAGTATGTTATATAGATTACTGAATTGCCCTTCTATTTTAATATTATTATTATATTCAATTATTTTTAAACTCCCTATATTTGTTAATTTAGCTAAACATCCCCATAATAAAAGTTTAAAAAATTAAGTAAAGCACCCCAACCATCTAAGAGGACAGTCGGTCGTTGGCCACCATCGCCGAACGACAGTCGACAATCGTTAGAACGGAACACGACTGGCTAGATCCGACTTGTCATGCGCTGATCTGGCCGTTAACAACGGCCATATCAATGCAAGATTGACCAGATGCAACCGATTGCGCTTCGTTTCGGCTACGTTATTCGGTAGTGCTTGTTGGTGGGTGACGGTAGTCTTGGGTGGCCTGCAATTTGTTTTAAATACAAAGATATTACTGTTCAAAAACTTAATTAATTAGGGGTAAATTAAAATCAAAATAAGGGTATTCCTAAAATTTTATTAATAAATAGTAAAATTATAATAAAAATTAGATTACCAAGTAATCTAAAAATACATCATAAAATGGTGGTATTTAGATTACCACTTGTATAACTAATAATAATTACTAATCATTTTAAAAATTACTAAAAATCTTATATTATTATAATTTTATATTACTAAAATCTTATAATACTCAAATCTTAGAAGGTGATATTATCTAATAATTCTATAAAACCGCTAACCAGACACACTGTAATAGCGGTAAATAAAGGTACTGTAAAAATGAAATAATATTTTTCTCTTTTTATTCAACTGGTTAAATAAAAAGAGAAAAAAGACAGTGAAGGGTAGTCAAATAATTGAATAAAAGATAAATATTACGCGCCCTTTCCAAGAAATGTCAGAGCAAGAAGGGGGATGGCCTGATGGGCCAGATGGCACACCGTGTCGGCCTACTTCAACGCGGCGAGACAGCTAGAAAACTTTCAAGTTCACTCCCGCAGTCCTATTTTCCTTTTCCCAAGTCTCTGAGCAGACCCAAACTTCAAAGAGTCAGATTATTTCAAGCAAGTACGATGGCTTCTTCTTCTTCTTCTTCTTCTTCTCAAATAAAGTATGATGTTTTTCTTAGTTTCAGAGGTGAGGATACTCGTGACGGTTTTACGAGCCACCTGCATGCAGCTTTGTGTAGGGGAAAGATTGAAACTTTCATCGATGATGAACTTAAAAGAGGGGATGGGATTTCACCCTCTCTTTTGAAGGCAATTGAAGGTTCAAAGATTTCAATTATCGTTTTCTCTAAACGCTATGCTTATTCTAGATGGTGTCTCGAAGAGCTTATAAAGATTCTCGATTGCAAGAAAATGAACGGTCAGATTGTGATTCCAGTTTTCTATAAGATAGATCCATCCCATGTAAGGAAGCAAACTGGGACCTTTGGAAATGCATTTGTTGAGCATCAAGTACGATTTCGGGACAGACCAAAGATGTTGCAGAGATGGAGGAATGCTTTGACGGAAGTAGCCGATCTATCTGGCTTTGATTCAAAAGCCATCAGGTAAATGCTTTTGATTTGATATTATTTTTAATTTTGGAACATAATATTTCAGTAGTTGGATGAACACATACTAAAATAGTTTAGAATTACAGGTCTTAAATTGGAATTATTTCATATCTAATGACTAACCAAACCACATCCCAATGACCCAAATTTACAATAAATAAGTAAAAATTAAAGTCTACCATATACCCTTCTTTCAAAATAAAACCATATTATTTTATTTTCTTATAATAACCACTATCCCAATAATAATTATTATACAAAAAAACTCATTAATCTCCTCAAATATTGGGATTCAATATATTTAAGTAAAATCTTGATTATATAATTTTAATATTTCAATTTTTGTTTGTTTGTATGTGTGTGTGTGTTTGTTGTTAATCATGAGATAAGACTTCTATATAAAAATCACATTCAAATATGAAAGAAAATTCAACTAGAACTTTTTTAGATCCAGCTATACAATTGAACCAGGTTTGGTACTTCTAACAAAATTCCATTTTAATTGTTTGTAAATAGAATTAGGGAAAGGGTTTATTTTTGGTAGGGTGTGTATATAATTCTTTTTTGTCTTATTAATAATTTGAGAAGTGCTAGCCTTACAAAGACAAATACAAACGGGGCATACAAAGACAGCTGCTACTTGATCTTCATGATTTCTCTCTCTCTCTTTTTCCCTTTTTTCTTTGTTTTTTCTTCTCTTTCACCTCACTTTGTAGCCCTCTTTGTATAGGTCTTTGTAAGGATAGCATTTTTTTTTTAATAATTTTTATAAAGATTGAAACTGTAATTAATAAAAAAAAATGATAAATGGGGTATAATAGGTGTCAGACCAGCATACTCATATTTAAATAAAACTTAAATTAATATGTATTATTTATTTGCAAGCTTTATTAGTTATTACTTAAACATTAGATCATGTCATCAATGGTCTCTACTAAATTTTTAATCAATTAATATTGTGGAATTATTTCCACTTTTTATTTCATTATATAAGTTCAAGTTCCCAACATTACTTATCTTGATCTATTTGTTGCTTAAATTATTAAATTTTTTTATTTCACGTTTTATGTTTTATTAAAATAGAACAATATTTTGTTACTTTATGTTTTAAATAAAAACCAAATACATATATCATATACTCTCTTGGTAATTTATTATAGAATAAGTATTTTTATGATAGTGCAACAACCAAACAATCTAGTAGTTGAAAAGAGCCTTTTTAAATTGATACCAAACAACCAATAATTTCTTGATAAAAGTTATATTTCGTATAAGCTTTTATTGTATAAGCTCTATATGCCATAAGCTCTTCTTGGAGGCTAAACCCAATGGCCCTTATATATATCTATGTGATAGATCCAAAATATAGACTTTAATTATTATATGATGTATATTGAAAAGTTTGGGTTGTGTATTCAAATAGAGATGGTAACTTTACTACATTCTTTATTTTTTTAACCAAATAAATTATAAATTAAGCTTATAATGTAATTATTTAAGTTAAATTAAATTATTTACAAATAAATTGAATAATTAATCAAATCATATATTTAATTATTTCTAACAAATTTAATTCTAATCACACCTAATTTTTTTTTTTTTTAATAATTTTCAAGGATGGAAAAATTTTGGGCTATTGGAATTAGACTTTGTCTTTATTACTTTTTCATTAATTTATTGATGAGCTTATTGTTGTTTTTACCTTTTGTTTCAATTGTAGGCCTGAATCGAAACTTATAGAGACAATTATTGAACACATTTTGAAGAGATTGAATGATATGTCATCTAGTGATAACAAGAACTTGGTTGGAGTAGCAATGAAGATCCAGGACATTAAATCTTTATTGTTTAATGGGTCGAATGAAGTATGTAAGGTAGGAATATGGGGTATGGGTGGTATAGGCAAGACAACTCTTGCTGATGCAATCTTCAATGAAATCTCAAGTGAATTTGAAGCTTCTCATTTTATTCGAAATGTTAGGGAAGCATCAAACAAAAATCAACTATGTCACTTGCAAAAAGAACTTCTTTCTACAATATTAGAGGATGGACACCTCAACATAGGGCTCACATTCACAAAAGAAAGGCTTGGACGTAAAAGGGTTCTTATTGTTTTCGATGATGTGACAGATTTGAAACAAATAAAAGATTTAATTGGAGATCTTGAAAACCTGGGTTCTAGAAGTCGAATCATTATAACAACGAGGGACAAACAAGTGCTTAAAAGTTGTGGATTGAGTGATTCTACCATATATGAGGTTGAAGGATTATGTAGTGATGAATCTCTTCAACTTTTTAAACAATATGCCTTCAAACAAAACCAGGCAATTGATGAAGTTTATATGAAGTTGTGAAATAGGGTAATAGATTATACAAAAGGTTTGCCTTTAGCTCTTGAAGTCTTAGGTTGCTTTCTACTTGGTAGAGACAAATTTGAATGGGAAAGTGCACTAGATGAATTAAAAAAGTCTCCGAATGATGTTATCCAAGCAGTGCTTAAGATCAGTTATGATGGATTAGGTATTAGAGAAAAGGATTTATTTCTAGATATTGCATGCTTCTTTAAAGGATGGGATAGATATCTAGTTGGTAGCCTCAATTCGCATATTGGAATAAGTGTTCTCATTGATAAAGCTCTTATTACCATTTCATACAACACCATAAGAGTGCATGATTTGATTCAAGAAATGGGTTGGGAAATTGTTCGACAAGAGTCCGTTAATAAACTTTGCCAACGTAGTCGATTGTGGTATCATGATGATGTCTATCATGTACTTAAAAAAAATCTGGTAAGTACGCAAGACATTAACTTTCAATTTCTATATTATATTTGTTTGTCATATCTTGAAAATTTTTTAACTAGGAGACTATCATTTTCATTTTTCCATATACATTAGTTCATGTCATACCGGGCTTGGGGTTTGGGAGGTATGTTATGTAATTTTGCTGTTAACTTATCATTTGATTTTGATTGTAGGGAACTGATAAAATAAGAGGTGTGCACTTTGATATGTTTCAAATGAGAAACGTACACTTAAATCCTCATGCTTTTTCAAAGATGGATAATCTAAGATTATTGATAGTAGATAAGCCAGTCTATGTGGTCAATAAGGTGTATGGTTTTGAAGGCCTAGAATTTGATTTCACTGAGCTAACATGCCTCTCTTGGGATGCTTACCCTTGCACATCATTGCCATTGAAATTTTGTCCGGAGAACCTAGTTGTCCTTGAGATGCAGCGGAGCAATCTTAAACAACTTTGGACTGGTGTCAAGGTATATGTTGATTTCATATGACAAATTTCTTTTTATAAATTTTAAATATTAGATTTTCTAATTTGTGTTGGTCATTTTCTTTTCTGTTATAGGATCTTTCTCATTTAAAATACATTGACCTGAGTTACTCAAATCATCTACTTAAAGTCCCAGAACTCTCAGAGGCTCCAAATCTAGAGAGCCTGATTTTAGAAGGTTGTACAAGCTTGTTTGAGATCACTTCTCCATCTCGGAATCTCGATAAACTTGTTAAGTTGAATCTAAGACATTGCAAAAGCCTTACCAGCCTTCCAATTGGTATTCAATCAAAGTCTCTAAGAGATGTAATTCTCTCTGGCTGCTCTAAGCTCAACACTGCTCCAAGGATCTCATGTAATATGCATCGATTGTGTTTGGATGGAACTGCAATAAAAGAATTTTCTTCTTCCATCGAAAGTCCTTCTAGCCTAGTTGAATTGAATCTTAAGGACTGTTTAAGGCTTGAAAGTCTTCCCAGCAGTGTTTGTAATTTGGAATCTCTTCATCACCTTACTCTTTCAGGTTTGTCAAATCTAAAGTTTGTTTTAGGGATCCCATGCAATATAAAAGAGTTACATTTAGATGGAACTGCCATAAAAGAATTATCTTCATCAATTGAGAATGCATCCAGTCTAGTAAGATTGAATCTTAAAGATTGTTCAAGCCTTGAGAGTCTTCCAGACGGCATTTGTAAATTGAAGTCTTTAAGATATCTTTGCATCTCTGGTTGTTCGAAACTTGCTAGATTGCCTGAAGACATAGGAAACTTAAAAAGCTTGGAAGTGCTAGAAGCTAATGGAGTTACTATAAGAGAATTACCTTCGTCTATTGGACGTTTGGAAAACCTTCATGATTTATCTTTAGAGAGATTGGAGAGATGTAATAGTCAAGAGCTGCTGTGTTCACTATCCCGTGCTTTCTCAGGTTTGCTATTTTTAAAGAGATTAAGTTTGAATCACTGCAATCTCACAAAGTTACCTGATAATATTGGCCAGTTGTCCTTACTTAGAGATTTAGAATTAGCTGGAAATAGTTTTGAGAGCGTACCAACAAATATCGTGAACCTCTCTAACTTATGGCTCCTTGACATAAGGTTTTGTATGAGGCTTCAATCCTTACCAAAACTTCCTTGTAAGATACTACAACTAAAGGCAGAGGGTTGCAAATTGCTGAAAGCATTATCAAGTTTGATAATTCCAAATCGTGGATTGTACAACCGGAGATTTAGCTTCATCAACTGCCTAAATCTGGATTGGAATGTTCTCAAAAACGTTTTGAATGATGCTTTATCGGAAATGTACTCTCTATGGTTGGAATTTAGAGAGGTACTTCAGTCTCTCTCGTTCCCATATGATTTCAATTTCTTTCTCTCTTATAAATAAAAAATCATATTAAACTAAAAATTTAGAACTAACAATTTTTATTTTACAGTGTGGAGTTGGCCTTCCGGACGGTGTCATGTGTTTCCCTGGAAGTGAAATTTCAGATTGGTTTAACATTCAAAGTTGTGGATCTTCTATAGAGCTACCACAAGGTTCATTCAATCATAAGTTTTTGGGTTTAGTCTTTTGTGCCTTTGTCGGAGTCCAAAATTATAATCATTCTTACAAAGGTGATTATCACATGCAAATTGAGTATGAGTTGCATTTGAAATGCGAAGATGGTTACAATAGAGTTGCTAAAAAACAATTTTCGGTTAATGAACCCAAGAATATTGAGTCAGATCACATATTCCTGGGGTATAATTGCAATCAATTTGATTTCCGTGAATTCCCTTGCAATACGGAGGCCATTATCAATTTCAGTTGCAATAAGTTTTGTCTTCGTAAAATTACTAAAGATACGAAGGACAACATCAATTCCCAAGCCAAACTCTATTTGAAGAAGTGTGGGATCCGTTTATTGTACACTCAGGAGTTTGAGGAACCTATGAAAAGATCCAGATGTTCTGTCATTGGCGAAGAGGAAGAGAAAGAGGAAGTACAGTCTGAGAGATTGAAACCTTCAAAATTCTTTAAAGGCGAATCTGGCTCCAGGTAATTAAATAATAAGTATATCTTCTTTGCTGCATATAATTTAAGTAATGCTCTCTCCATTCTCTACACTATTTTCGTGCTTATGATTGATTTCTGAATGATTTTCTCCTGGTCTCAAATATGATGTATATAATTTTCATCTCAATCCTAAAATATTACTAAAATATTATATATGTATGATCAATTAAACATGTTTTACTGTGCATGTGGTTTTTTCTTAGTTGCTGTATTACCTATATAGACTAAAATAGATTTAACTTTTCCTGATCCATATGAATTGCAAGGATTTATTTCATCATATATTAATTGATCGATCATATTTTTGATATGCTTTTGTTGCTTCCTATGGTATCAATTTGAATGTTAAAAGGTCTGGGGTGCATCTACTACCGCACAAGAAAGAAGGGGAAGAGTTCAGTCCAACTACAAATGAACCCATTAGCTTTACTCTTTTCGATTTGGATGAATTCCCTGGAGATTCTATTGCATCACCTATTTCTATTTCTGATTCGGATGAAGACAATGATGGAGATTTTGTCAAATCACAGCCCTTTACTTCTTTGGATTTGGATGATTTCCCCCAAGATTCTGTCAGTTCACCTATTATTATTATCTCTGATTCGGATAAAGACAATGATGGGTAAAACATAGTGGAAGTGTCTGCCTTTATGATGAAGATGAATGACAACCTAAGGAATTCAAATTCTTTTGAAAGAGAAAAGTCTATATCTTGTACTTTCATTTTGTGAATATATTGGTAAGTCTGAATTTCAATTTCTAGCTCAAATATATCTATCTGATTTTGCTCTCATATTCAATAAATATTCAATAAGTTCAGCGGCTGAATGATATTTTCTAATGAGAATAATAATATGTATCAATATGAGGATATACTGCTTGGATAAATATAGTTATTTGTTAGTTTATATCTACAGTTAGAGAAATATTTAAAATACTGTTTATTCATATTTGCTATTGTCAGATATTGTTTGCAAAAATTATCTCAATTCATTCAAAGTATTGCGTCAAACAGTTCATTTATACTTTGGATTATTCAAAGCCTCTGAGAAAAAGTTATCACAATTTTACTAGTGAAACTGAAAAGCTCAATTTTATTTGTTCAATATGACATTTTGATATGGTTTGGATTTGAGCTTTGCTTATATATTATGTTTAAGTAGAAAAACTCATGATCCACAATCTTTGTATTGATTACGTGAGAATGGAAGACGCCAAGGCACTGCTACAAACTGGCACTAAGCCACAAAACATATTTAAATTCACGCTTAATTTGTACTTTGCATTTGGCTGTGCACTTAATGACATGTATTTATGTTGGTTTCTTGGATGCATTTACTACTAGGGATGAATTTAATATGAAAATCATTGATTGGTGAAAAATAACATTCTTGCTGGAGAGGTATAAATGCTGTTGGAGTCCCTTGGGCCTGGTCTCACACTGCTACAAATGGTTTACTAAAGGCGATCTACTGGCAAGCGGTGGTGATGATGAGCTTTAATACATATGGGCGCCTTCTAAATTGAGTTCAACCAAATTCTTGTACTGATTTATTGCGCATTGTGATGCAGTTAAGGTCCTTGCATGGTTCCTTGTCAATCTAACGTTCTTGGCTCTGGAGGAAGCACAGAAGATGGATGTATTACGATATGGAATTTACAATGGAGGACCTGCATCAGCAATACTGTAGAACAGGCAAGTGAAATAATTCACTCTTTCTTATGAGTTTTCTATAGAAACTACAACTTATTGGTGTCCTTCTAAGGGACATTTCCATCTATGATAACATTTTTGTTGCCTATCGATACTTGTGAAGTGTTTGTTTTTTACCTTATGTATGGCAATTTGGTGTAACATATCCAGATATGTGGACTGGAGCAGAACTGGTATCAAAAAGAGATACTGAGTGTAGCTTTTGGAAACACCCTGCAATGGCTAAAGTTGGGGAGTTAAAGCTGCAACGCCTTAGAGTCCGTGAGCTTTCTCAGGTTTGACTATCTGACTATCTTTGGTTTGGAACCCAGTATCTTGTATTCTTAAATAAATGTAGCAGCTGACTTTGTTAAGTCAATGTTTTGCCCCGATGACCAAATGTTGGTATCAGCTGGGGTGGACCAACAAAACCCTTTGCTTCTGGGAGATTTTAAACCACCTGCCATTGAAGATTCAATTTTTTCATATCTTGACAACCATCTATCATGAAGGACAACTAATGATGGTGAGCAATGGAAAAATCAGTTTGTTACAAGCTTTTCTTTTTCTCCATTTTTTATTTATTGCACAGAAACTCTGCAGTTCTTTTTTCTTATTGTTGTCTAGGCTAGTATATATATTTTGGTTGTTACCATTCGTAAAGGTGAAAATAGAACAAGGCATTACAGGGAAGCAATAATCAATAAAATAATTTGTTATAATGCATTCATTGTGCAAATGATTTGCTTAACTTAGCTTTCAACTTATGATTCTTTATAAATACAACTTTCATCAACAGTACTTGTGAACCTTTTGGCTGTCCTTGCATTTTCTAGGACTGTAGTTAGATAATGGACTCTAGGTATTCATAAGAAGTCAGCAAGTTAATATTCCACCTTAGATGGTATCATATATACTGGCCAAAATTAGGTGAGTTAGACGTTTACTAGGAATACTGGCTATGAAGATCCGCCATTAGATAGATGAATTCAAGTCTACCGTGCATTGTTATCGGTTGATTACAAAATTACCTTGGGCTAATGTGAGGATATGTTTATGGTTACTGTTGAAACTTGCCAGAGGGAAGGGTCTTTATAGAAGGAAGAGGAAACAACTTACACAGTCCACAACTGATATTTTCAAGTTAGTACCATTTGCAGTTTCTTGCTATAGTATTTCTCAAATTATTCCTAACATGTTGCCGTCAACCTTCCATGACAAGATGAAAGAAGAGGTAATAGTTGAAATTACTGTCACAAAAATGCTTGATTGCTTTATCACAGTTGCATAAGCCGTATTCATCCTGAGTCTTAGCAGTTGTAGCTCCTAAATGTTGATGATGTGCTTCCATTTGTCAGTCTTGTTATTGACTCATGAAATGGAGACAGCAGACGATCTGGATGAGTTTATGAACGAGGTTATAATTTTTTTCCCCTTTGCCTAACAAGGGAAGTGGGCTTACTCTATGTTTTAACTGTTCTGTTTTCTGCTGGCAACAATTTAGTTTTAGGTTCTGCCATTGAACACTTTACAGTGCTGGTGTATTGAATGATGAAATTTTAGGCTTTGGCAAGCTAAGCATTGATGAACATGCTTTGGATAACATTAGCAGGTTGATTTTGTATAATCATTCCTCCAATTTTTGGGGTTATACTGGCCATTTAATTTATTACTATATTAGCAGGGTGTATAGTCGCTTTCAGATGCAGAGCTTCAACAAGCCCGTAGAGACTGAAGGTTACTTGGATTGTTTTCAGTGGATGGATAAAATGTGGCAACAGGTTCATGCTCAACATATATCTTTTACATTTACAAATAATGCAAGCTTTGTATCAAAAGTCCTTTTTCATAGTTTCCTCCATAGATGGGTGTTACATTCACTGGCCAACTCTTCGCTTCCATATTGTCAGCCATGAGCCTTCAACCCGATTATGACATTGCATGAAATGTCTTGCTTTATTATTATTTGGAAAGAATTATTAATAACAAATTAAAAAGTATGTCAACTGGCTGTCTACTCATGATATCCAGACTACAAAAAGAACAAAAATGATTTTCCTTTTTGCATATATGGGGTATGCTAATCAATAACAGCTCTTTGGAGTTGTATTTTAGTTGTCTAATCAGACATCTTTGACACTAAACTAAACTTATGAAGCTTTGTAACTTACATGACTTTCGTTTGCGGATAATGCTGGCAACTGCAATTGCTTCAAGGTTTTATTATATTTTTCTCTGCATATAATTTAGTGGAAAAGTTCCTGAGTCCGGCTTCTAATTCAGTATTTCTCTTTGTAGTTGCGTTAATGCTGAATTTGTTCTCTGCATCACTTGGTACTATCTTTTCTTTTGATTCTTTCTAAGTAATGTTTGTCTTGGTTTCTAGACAAGAGTATCATATTGAAAGAAGATGAGAGGAAGAACTTACATCATATGCTGTCTGGCCAGAATCTGCTGCAACAGTAATGCAATTCCAGAATTCAGTGGAAGGAATACCGTTGGACAAAAAGAATTTAGAGTAGAGAGCTGAGCTTTGCGAGGTGGTACTAGAAGAGAACAAAGGATCAGATGAATAAGGGAATTCTTGTTTGTTAAAAATACCAGTTTGGAGATACTTCAGAGGTTCTTAGTTATTATGGGAACATATAAAACATTATTCAGAATTTTCATAAAGTAGAATGTATCATTTTCCAGGCTCGGTTGGAGAGGTCATGAATCTGTAGCCCCACTGAGTTATCTGTTGTCTGTTGAAGCTATGAAGGATGGCTCTGACCATGTTTTTTTGTCGATTGCAGAATGTCCATATACCATTTGTAAATTGTTTGGATTCATTGAGAGCGCAAGACCCACATCCAACTTGTTTTCATATCTAACTTCGATCTGATAACCGGAGGATCTTAGATATTTTGTTGCTGGTTTTGACTTTGATAAGAGATTTGAAATTGAAAGTTTGAGTTTGAAAAAAATTGTAAAATGAAATAAGGAAAATATTAACTAGATCTATGTGGTTTGATATATTAATAACAATTCCTATGGTTGCAAAAATATTAATGAATACGAGGATTGTTCGGGGCGCACAGGGGTCTGATTTGGCAAGCTTTAATGGCTGGTTTTTGTGAGCTTTGATCTAAGGATTGTTTATCCTCTCTATGGGTTCTTTTTGCCTGAGTTGTCTCTTTGGCTTTTGTAAAGGGATGTTTTGTTTAAGGGTCTACCCCTCTTAGTTGTTTCTTTATTCTTTATAAAATTACTAGTTAACCAAACCTTGCCTTTGGGATCAGTCCTAGCTTTGAACTGAACCTTTGGTTTGAACTTGTAGACGAATCTTCCAACTTGGGGACTAGACCATTTGCCATTGGTGGCATGGAAAGGCACTCCACACGAAAAAGAAAATCAAGTGGGCAAGATGCCAAGCAAAGACCTTGACGCCCGTGCCTGAGTGAAAAGTTCGGTAGAATTCCTTCTTCTCATCTGGTAGCGTGAACAACCACAATCCCTGTGATCGTACCTTCTCTTGAGTTTAGATCCATAGAATGAATCTTCTAATTAGTTAGCTTGCCAGGTTTAAGAATTCCTCCAGGTCAAGGGTCAGCGGTCGCCCTGTCACAATTCATCCCTTACAGAGAGTGCAAGGTGCGCAACAGTGTAATTCGAGTACTCGTGCTCCGTCTTGTTCTTATCTTATAGGAATAGCAGTTTAGTGTGATATGATAAGTTGGTAAATCAAACTACCTATTATTAGCCCATCATTTGGACCTTATTCCTTCCTATGGAAGGCTACTTTTGGCTCGTATGAAACCCAAAGGAAAGCCCGAAAAAACATCAACTAAATAGAAGTAAATCTCTCCAACTAGCTTAGTGGAACTGGCAGCTCGTATGAAACCCAAAGGAAAGCCCGAAAAAACATCAACTTAATAGAAGTAAATCTCTCCAACTAGCTTAGTGGAACTGGCAGAGACTGAGAGGCTAGCATCTGACTGATTTTTATCTTTCCCTCGAGATTTCGTTTTCTTAAGTCTAATAAGAGCTAAGAGAGTGTTCCAGAAGAACTTAGAATTAGAATTCTATCTTTGGGGATAAATAGATATCTTTCTTTTCCTAAATCTTTATTTCATTTACCTAGGGGTCTTTTTAGACTTTCCCAATGAAAAGCAGATTCGAACTCTAATACTGCTCGCTTACAAACTCACTCTCAAGTGTGGATCCGGCTGTATGGAACCCCCTAATATTAATGAATATGAAACCCCCTAATATTAAGGCTACGGTAGTTTAAGTTTTCAGAATAGTATTCTATTCTGAATACTATTTAATCATAGGATAAGATTATTTTTGAAAAATGTTTTCTGAAAATATTTCTTAATTTAACTCAACACTCTTACAATTAAAGTTTATAAATTAACAAAAACACCTCATGTACTTAACTATTATCGACAATCGACCACCATCATTGGACGGTGGTTAGAAACTGTCAGAATGGCGTATGATCGACTGAATTTGATCAATCGTGCGTCGATCTAGCCGAAAATGGTCAAATCTACGGTCAAAGACTTGGCCATTGTTGACGGCTAAGATATGAATATGATTGTAAGATAGGATAGTGTTTAAAAATCGAACCAAAGGAAGCCTAAATTATTTTTATTAGTTTTATTGTTGACCTGTTTTGAGTTGTGAAATTGTAAGAATATCCCTTACTTCTTACATTCAAATGGGATAGGATCTTTATTATTCAAGTTAACGATATCCTAAAGGCAGGAGGTGCTGATATTGTTGAAACCATGGATTAGCCTTTTTATATTAGCCAAAATTAAACATATTGGATGTTGGTGATAGTCAGATTATTAAAGATGATAGGAGCATTGTGAAGGTGGTTTTAGAGTTTTTTTTTTGAAAAGCTTTAAAGGAAGGATTGTTAGAGTAAGAATAAGGTTTGTTGTGGAGTGCTCTGGATGGACACAAGGCAAATTAGCTGGAGAGAGCATTTGAGGAGGAAATAGAAAAGGCGAGTTTGAATCCTGCAAAAGTTGTTTTGGATCTGATGGATGGTAATTAAATGGTGTCATTTCATAATAGACTGATAAATGCTATGACTAGTGAAACTTTTAGCTTCTGCGAGGGGAGTTGAACCCTCGACCTTTACAGTAACCTTTTTGTAACTGATAATTATTAAAAATATAAAAAAAATAAAATTCTATATAAATTCTGAATTCATTTGGAAGATGCAGTTCTGCTCTAATTTTTCAATTTTAGTTACTGCAATTGATAAGCTATATATTTGAAAAATACTATTATTGTAGTTTTGATTCCTTGACTGTAGTATATTCTCCTTTATAGAACTGTTAACTACATATGCTTTTATGTTGTTTCTGTAACGCATAGGTTCAAGAAATACAAATCATTGATCCTTAAGCATGACCACTGTTTTTGAAGTGATGTGAGTACCATGCTAGCAACTTAGATAGCTGCTAAGATAGCTTGGTGTACAAAAAATGTTTTAGATTGGTATTAGAATATGGTTAAACTGAAGTTGAAAATAACCATTGGAAGATTGAAAGCAATGTACGACCCTTCATCGCTAGAATTGAAAAAAGGTTTCATCATTTTGTGGGTACAACTTTGGGATGAATAATACTTTTTGTTTTCGGATATGCAGGTCTTGAGAAAGTGTTGGAAGTGAAACCTTTGGTTAATGGGAAAGAGATTATGAGTGTTTTGCAGCTTAAATCTGGATGGCCACTTATTAGGGAGTGGGTAAGGCAATCTTTATGCATCTAAGACCCAAAAAGTAAAAAGGCATCAAGTTCCAAATGCTAATTCACTCTTTACTTCACAGCAAAAAAAACTCATGGCAGCTTGCCCATCCCTCTGCGACAGCAGAGGAATGCCTTGGCTGGGAAGCAAACCTACTCAAAGCGTGTAAAGCTGGAGTCCGGCAATTCAGTCCATTGATCAGCTATACTATAGTTATTTGGATTATACATTTGGAAATGCATTCTGAAGCCTACGAACATCCATTGGTTCTGGATGCCAAAGTTTGTTACGTTAGCAGTGAGATCGAATTGGAGTCATTTTACGGCAAAGAGATTTTATCTTCCAGTGGGAGTAAAGGAGGGCAAGGAAAGACAAAGATTCGGGTTAATGTGTGAATTAAAAATTTTGTATAGATCCTAAATCTGTCTATTAACTTATATTAGATGCTGACAGCTTGTAATATACACTCATTTTGTAGTGTCTAGTTTCAAATGTAATTATTATAATTCTCCATTTTTGATTTGGTTGTGAAGCTTGATGAGAAGGCATATGAGTAGTCTTGGCTGGGCAGATTTAATAACTTGCTACAAGTAAAAAAAATGTAGCAATGTATATTAATAATAAGAGTGAGTTTTCCTGTGAAATTCAGTAAGATGGCTTCTGAAACAAAGAAGAGAAGCTGCTTTGATGGACATACGAAATTGACTAAAGGTGGGGTTGACACCAAAGCAAAATCAAAGCTTGAGAAAGGAGGAGACTGCAAGTAACAACAATGACTTTGTGCCAATTAAATAAATCTTATAATTTATAAACTTATAAAAAATAAAATTTACAAGCCATTGCACTAAACAATCAAATAACTGAATGCAACACGGCTAGAAAAGATGCTCGAATGAACGTTTTGCAAAATATAAAAGGACATGACCCTTCAACACGGCTAGAAAAGCTTCCAGTCAATACTGATGATAGCCACAGAGACCAGAAAAAAAAAATTTATAATCACCGCCAAAACCTTATGATTTGTCCTTAAATTTTAAATTTAAAAAAAAAAAAAGAGCATTCTCAAACACCGAAAGGAATAATGGATAATAATTAATTTATGTATGTGTCTTTATGCTCATTTCTTTTCTTCAGGAGAGAGTTTTAGTATTAGCTATATCAGTTTGATTCATGGTTTTCTATTTCAAAGTTTGTGAGAACTCCATAGTATCTGATTGCTTCAAGCCAAGTACGATGGCTTCTTCTACTTCTTCTTCTCCTCAAGTAAAGTATGACGTTTTTCTTAGTTTCAGAGGTGAGGATACTCGCGAGGGTTTTACCAGCCACCTCAATGCATCTTTGTGTAGGCGAAAGATTATAACTTTTATGGACGATAAACTTAGAAGAGGAGATGAGATTTCACAGTCTCTTTTGAATACAATTGAAGGGTCAAAGATTTCAATCATTATTTTCTCTAAAGGCTACGCTTCTTCTAGATGGTGTCTTGAAGAACTTGTAAAGATTATAGATTGCAAGAAAATGCATGTTCAGATTGTGATACCTGTTTTCTATTATGTAGATCCTTCAGATGCGAGGAAGCAAACAGGAAGTTTTAGAGATGCATTTGCTGAGCATGAAGTACGATATAAGGAGAGGAAAGAGATGTTGCAGAGATTGAGGAATGCATTGACGGAAGCAGCCAATCTGTCTGTCTTTGATTCAAATTCCATCAGGTGACTGCTTTTGCTTTGATTTTATTTTCTCATTGAAGTTCTTAGTAGCTACTTTTACTTTTGACCTTTTTTTTTTTTTTTTGTTTTTTCATTTAATTTTTTTAATATAAATATATGTTTCAGTAGTTCGATGAAGACATACTACAGTAGTTTTTAAATTCATCATAGACAGGTCCTATTTTTTACCAACTTTTACCGTTCATGTTTGTTATGCCTGGGAGAATAGGGCTGACATGGCACCCAGTTAAGTGCGAAAGGTCAGACCTTGGGAAGAGTTTACTGCCATTCTGGCGCAGTTGCGTCGTGTTATCATGGTTGCACCCACAGTTTGCTTCTATCAGAATAATGGGTGCACGTCAGGCCAGCTAGGAGTTGTGATGATCCCGCATTTCCAATCCATGCAGCAAATCACGTGAATTACTCTAAAAGAAGGATTTGCACGGATCATCCCACCAACTTACAGATTCAATGATCATTACCTCAAGGCATCCCACTATAAAATGAGAGCTCCTCTCTCATTAAGGAGATTCGCACATTTTACTCTTGACCAATCTCTCTCTCTCTCTCTCTCTAGAATAGACAGTCTTTGTTACTTTGTATCTTTAGTGTAAAAGTCAGTCGTCTAAAACGACCTGACCCTTATCATTAATAAAACCATCAGTGGACGTAGGACTTGCTTCCTTAGCATCTGAACCACTTTAAAACTCCTTTCTCACTGCATTTACTGTCATTTTCCTTTCCATTCACGTGTGTCTTTTGGGCCAACTCAACATTTTACACGTACGTTTTGTTGGTGTCAAAATCACGCATCAACAATGTTAATTAAGCTTTGAGTTGGAACAGAAAGAGGGCTGGAGCGGGCCTTCTCTTGTTGAGTCCCGAAGGGGCCCGCATTCATGACTAAAAGATCCAGCATGCATGAAGAGTGGTGGAGATGGAGAATGAAAGCATGAAATCATGGATTAAAAAAAACGGTTTACATGCAAAGCTTGGATATGAGATTATACCTACTCCTTTGCTTTGGATTGATGAAGATTAGCTTCAAAAGGATGAAACCTCTACAATTTAACACCACCTTGAGAGGTTTAGAGAGTGGTCGTGGCTTTTAGAGAGAGTTTTGGTTTTGCTTTGAGTGAACAATGTGTGTTATGAACAAAAATGCAACCTTTTGCATTTATATATACTTGGGCAATTTTGCAATTATTTATTTTTCACTTCAAAGCCCAATAAAATCTTATTTTATAAAGGGACCCCATGAATTATTATGCTACCCTTTGAATAATCAATATTATTCAAGGGCCCTGTAACTAAACTAGTTTACAATGACAACCCATAAAGTTACCCTTTTACCCTTTAACTATTAAAAGGTTATTTTTTGTTCATCTCATTAATCTTAACACTTTAAGATTTAATCTTAATTTAGATATAATAAATTAATATTAATTATTGCTTGACCATTTTAATCCTTAAAATGTCACAAATAGTTTTCTATGTAACTATTACCATAGAAATCCCGTTATTACCCTCGGAAGGTGCTAGCCCTCTTCGAATATCATTTCTCTCTCTCATCCTTCTCTAACTTCTCAAGGCTATTGGTGTGACCATGTAGGTCCACCGTGGATTAGCCGTGGGCCGGTTCTGGAATCCGGAAACCTATCCGGAGGCCCAACACTATGGTAAACATCTAGCAATGTGTCATAGTCCCTAAACCACGATGAAGAAATACTTCATCGAACCCATTTCAGATCATACTACCATGCAGGTAAAGTCCCTCCATTGAGATATCCTAATCGAGTATGGATTCAGAACGTCAAAATCCTAAACTCGATCTTCTACCAAATTATCGATCAATATGTCCGAAACTTGTCATCACAAACTTACTTTTGTATGACAAATATAGACTCTGGCCAGAGATTTAGTTTCTGACATTTATCGATGTTCGTCTAGGAACTCGAATCCGGATGGAGTCCCGGTACTCCTATCCTATATTCAGAGTCAATGATCCCCTCTTGACCATCGTTCGTTTCCGCATATACAACGCATGACCAAATAGGCTTTATTGTACGAAACATGATTAGTCTCGTACTTATACACCGTATGAACCATACGCATCCATATCGGATCCGACTACAATGTCTCAGGTCAAAGGACTACATCTGTGCACTGATATAACCAAACGATAAATCTTGACTACTGCTTTTCCAAGTGATTTGTCGTTATTCGGTCACGTTCGAAAAACGTTCACCAACCGTTAATCCATACCAATGCCCCAGTGACATGACTATCATCGTCATCCGTACTTATATCAACTCATGATATCTTTCGGAAGCATCCGGTATGCCTACTGTGCAATATAGTTGCCCAAATTTATATTGCTTCCGTAAGGAACCCTTTTCGATAACTCATTTACCTATTAAATGAATCATCTGGACAATTCATATACATACTTTATTTTAAAGGCATGACTGAATAAAGGAAGCAATTTACATATATGAATTGAAGAACTCTTTCTTCTATTATTTATGATATATATAGATACAAGACAAAATGCTCTGAAACCGACAACACGAATGGTTTCTAGGGCATACACTAATATACACTAACAATGACATTCTTCGATTCAGTTTCAAAGCAACTAATAATGAGGCCGAGTATGAAGCTCTGCTCATTGGACTCAGGTTGGCCAGGGAAATGGGCACAACTGCGATCAGCATCCACAGTGACTCCATGCTGGCCGTTAACCAGATTTTGGGAGAGTATCAAGCCAAGGAAGATAACATGATCAATTATCTGAAGAAAGCTAAGGCCGTATTCGAGCCGTTCAAGCACTTCACGATCACTAGAGAAAACAATTTTGTGGCGGACGCCTTGGTAAGGATAGCCTCATCATTAGACTCGGATGCACCGGAGAACATTCCTGTTCGATTCATCGAAATCCCCAGTATCAGCCCAATCGAACAGGCCGTGAATGTAATGGGTTTAGACTCATGGATGACCCCCATTACTCGGTATCTCAAGGATGGGATCTTGCTTGATGATAAGGTCGAGGCAAGGGTTCTGCGAACAAGATCTGCTCGCTACACCCTCATCGGAGACTAGCTGTACATGCGAGGGTTTAGTGCCCCTCTCCTCCGATGTAACCAGCGATGAAGCAGAGTACATCATGAGGGAGATACATGAAGGGATCTGCGGTAATCACACCGTCGCGCGATCTCTCCCGAACAAGGTTGTTCGTCAGGGGTACTATTGCCCGAATCCAAGATGACGCCTACAACTTTGTCAAAAGGTGTGATAAGTGCCAGCGGTTCATGAATATACTGCAAGCTCCCTCTCACGAACTGGTAACCATGACTAGCCCCTGACCCTTTTCCATGTGGGGGATCGATCTCATCGGTCTCATTCTAGTTGGGAAAGGGGGAGTCAAATATGTCGTGGTCGCTGTAGATTACTTCACCAAATGGGTGGAAGCCGAACCGATTGCTGTGATCACGACTAGAAAGCTCAAAGACTTCGTTTTCAAGAATATAGTGTGCCGCTACAGAATTCCTCATACCCTTATTTCGGATAATGGGAAACAGTTCGATAACGAAGAATTCAAGCAGTTTTGCGACGAGCTGGGCATTCATAAAAAATTCGCCTCAGTCGCAAGGCCACAAGCAAATGGCCAAGTTGAAGCTGTCAACAAAACCATTAAGCACACTTTGAAGGCCAAACTTGGCGCAGCCAAAGGGAATTGGGCCGATGACCTCCCCGAAGTCCTATGGGTGTACATAACAACTCCAAGAACCTCCACCTCAGAAACACCTTTTTCGCTAGCGTATGGATGCGAAGCGATGATCCCTGTAGAGGTGGGAACTAGTTCACTTCGGAGGGACTTGTATAATGAGGCCGACAACGAAGCACTTATGAGAGCAATCTTAGACCTTGTTGAAGAACATCTCAGCAAGGCTTCGCTAAGGATAGCAGCCTATCAGCAACGCGCGAAGAGGTTCTTCGATTCAAAAATCGGGCGAAGAGACTTCCAGGTTGGCGACCTTGTGTTAAAGGAAGTTCTTCTCGGTACCAGGGAACCAAGTGCGGGAGTTTTGGGACCGAACTGAGAAAGTCCATACCGCATCGATAAAGTAATTAGCCCGGGGACTTATCATCTCAAAAGGCTAAACGGTTCCAAAGTACCTCGAGCCTGGAAGGCTAAGCACCTTCGGCCATACTATCAGTAATTCCGAACTCAGTTTTCCTTGTAAATTAATTTCTGATTTTTGTAAGTCATTTCCTTGTAAAGTGTTATCTTGCACTTTTGTAACAAATCTTCGCATGTGATCCTTTTCGTGCAAATGAGTTATGTTATCACACTTGTTCAATAAATGTAAGCAATCAGGAAGTACTCATATATAATAAAGCGAACAAAAATTGTATAAGTTAAAATGTATTTCATTAATGAGGAGTACAACAGGTAAAAAGTTATGACTAAAAGCCTTAATCTGGCTCTTAAAGGAACGACCTCGTCATCCTAGGGCTGGTCGACTGAGGGTTTATCCGAGGCATGTCCCAAACCTCCTGCTCGAGAGGTCGCCGCTTCATCATCCTCCCATGCCATAGACATAAATGTATCCTGCCAGTCCTCCGGGAAGTCGGACATATCAAGTCGTGGATTCTTCAACCGCAAGGCGTAGATAGACTCGATCGCCCATTCGGCAGCCTTCTCCTCTACCTTCGTTGCTTGATTCTGCATCTCCTCTGTCAAGGAAGCAACTTTTCCTTGACTTGCCTGAAGTTCAGCTTCAAGAGCTTGCCTTAGCTTCTTGGAAGCTTCTCTCTCCTGTTCTGTTCACATGACCTGCTGAGAGGTCGTTTTGAGTTCCTGGTCCTTCTCCCCGACCTCCTTCGAGGGTCTGACTATGGTCCTTTGCAGCTCTTTGACCTCCTCTCCATGCTTCTCGAGCTGTGCTTTTTGGAAGTCCACCGTGCGAAGAGTCGCGTCTCTTTCATTCTAGTACCGGTTCG